TTTTTTTTTTTATTTATTTATTTGGACATTTAGCAAAATACTGCAGAAACATCCAAAGCAGTATAAGAGCTAAGGGTTACAACAAAACCAAAATAAATAACCATCATCATAATAATAAATTAAAACATGATTGCATTCGGTTTGTCTTCAGGAGCGGCTCACTGATTGCTATAATGCCACATGAACACGCCGCCCTCACATAAGTTAAAGGAAATAAAAAGGATTTGGCTACATGATGAAAAACACAACGACAGATCACAGGTTCGACCACACAAAGCAGTAACTTACACAAATAATTTAATAAATACATAAATAAATAGAAAAAAGATTAGATATACTGTATACTGGTAATACAGAAGGCTTTGTAGAAAATAATTATCATCATATGCTCAGCCAGTGATAAATAAAAACAATCAGGTCAGTTTAAGGCAGTTTTACAGCAGGAGTCTCTAATCCAAAGGCATTACCGGCTACACTAGTTTTACTCTCTTTTGTTTTCAGTCGACAGCTACTGATCCACAGATCCACGAGCTATGTTAAAGCTAATCAGAGTGATGAGATAAGGTCTGTTCAGGCCTGCGAAGTCTGCTTTATATTCTACAGGTCATCTCCTCTCTTAGGTCTAGGAGCTAATAGCACTTGTGCAGAGATGCTAGAAAAATAAATTAACAGTCTAACGTTTTTTTTTTTTAAAAGAGCTTTGAGGATCATTTTTAGTGATGTTGGGGTGGGCGTGGGTGTGGGTTACAGACCAGGAGGAGTCAAACACACACACACACCCAGAGGTTGCTGAAGTGTCCTCGAGCAAGGCACTGAAACCTTGCAAGCTGCGTGTGAGTGGATATGTGAGGGCATGCTTGGCTCTCTGTTTTCCACAGAAAATGTGAATTATTTGAAGATAATTTTTACTCGAAAAGACACAAATAAGCAAATTTTTCACGTGTCTTTGAGGAAGATTGGACTTCGGTGTGGTTTTGTCCTTTGGAGATCTATAGCTACAGTGAAACAGAATTACTCCCAGAGTTACAACTTCTCACAAACCTCTTTACATCTGTTACTCAGTTTAAGGAAGTGTGCTTTAGGGTACAGATGGTTTTTTTTCAGTGGAACTCTGAAATCCTCCTAAAAACAAAAAGAAACACGCGGGTGGACTCTGATTCCCGGTGTTTGCCAGTCCACAGTCCGGGATCAGCAGGCGGGGCGGAGCGGCATCTGCAGCAGGATCACCTGCCGGTTCTCGGACGGGTGGCATTTGTTGATGTGCCTCGTGAGTCCCGGTGAGCTGTAGAATACTGCGGGGCAGTATTTGCACGAGTACACCTGTGAGGAATGCAGCAGGCGGATGTGCCGCTCCTGGCTGCCTCTGCTGGTGAAGTTCTCCCCACACACGGGGCACAGGTGGCAGCAGGAGGCGCTCAGGTTGAGCGGCGCCGCGCTCTGCTCGCAGCCCGCCGCGTCCTCCTCCTCCGCCGCTTTTGGGGACCCGTGCTGCGACGCCAGGTGTTTCCGCAGGTAGGCTTGGCGCTTAAACCTCTTCCCGCACTGACTGCAGTCGTACAGTCCGTCCTCTGAACCGGACTCGGACGGCTCGGGGCTGGGTGTGTCCCTGTCACTAGAATCCTTTGCTTCATCCGAGGCCGTCTTCGACGCGGACACCTTGTCGCTCGGCGTATTTTGCGGCTTCGGTTTGTGCCAGCGCCGATGAGAGGCGAGGTTGGCCGGGCAGCTGAACACCTTGTCACACTCGGGACACCGATACTCAACCCGGACTATCCTGGAGCATTTGTGCTGTGCCAAAGCGAACGGGTCTGCGTACGCCTCCCGGCATAGCTGACACACAAACTCCCCCAGCGGGACGTGGTCTCCTCCGGCCGGTGGCGCTCGGGGAGGTTTCTGGTCCACCGGCGCCTCTTTAATCTTCAGCCCGAGAACCGGAGACGTAGTGACATCATCCTCAAAGTGCAGTTTGCGGATGGCTTTGGTTTTCTTGGACGGCGGCTTGCCTTTGCGCTCGGCGTCGTTGGCGCAGCGCTTGGAGCCGCCGGTTGCAGCGGCGGGGAGCGTCCCGGCGGATGACGAGCTGCTCTCGGGGCGGCTGCTGTTGCTGGAGCCGATCTTCAGGTCCACCGGGGCGAAGAGGTGATCCAGGGCAGTGATGGCTGCCGGTGTGGGGAAAGACTCCGCGGAAACCGGCGAGCCGAGGCTGAAGCGGGCCTCGGAGTAGGAGCGGTCGTGCTCGTGGCTGACGGGGCGGGTGGGGCTGTACAGAGACTGATACACCGCCTCCGGGTTCCCGAACTGCACGGGCTTAGCATCCGGCTCCGGAGCCGTAGCCGCCGCCCCGCAGGTGGGCGTAGGTGTCCGCGCGCGCACCGGGATGGAGACTAGATGCGCTGAAGAGGAGGAGGAGGAGGGCGGCAGCAGCGGCGGAGCATCAGCCGCCGTTTGGTCCGTTTCTTCGTCCTCGGAGCGGACCCGGTAGGACACCGGGTTGGGTTTCTTGTTCCTTTTTACCAGGAATCCTCTGGGCATGTTTGCGGGGAGCTGAAGGCACTTTGGGCGCTGCGGGAAGAAGAAAACCACTTTCAGCAGCTCGCGCACAAAATCAAACCATCTGATGCGTCCTTTTTCTCTCTGTTTGTTTGTTTCCTCCTGCTATTGATCCCGTGTTCTCCTCCCGAGGTCCTTTCACCACAACATAGCTGCACTCTTTTTAAGGCGACATGATGACATTGTTCCCGTCCCCCCCTCGTTGCCTCATCCCCGACCAATCAGAAGGAGCCGAGGTCCCCTGTGGATTTGGGGAGTGGGTGTGGGAGGATGGAGAGGCTGATGGAAGCTAGGAGGAGGAGGGCGGATTTGCAGATTGCAAAGCAGATGTACCTGAGGGTTTTATTGTATTTCCCCCCACCACACACACGCACACACACACACACACACACACACACACACACACACTCACTCTCCCTCCTCCTCGTCTCGACCCGGGCACACGCCAGGAGTCTCCTGCTTTTACGGTCTGATGAGTTTGTATAGAAATCTACACGTGCCTCGGCTTTATGTGTCTCTTTCTGGGGGTGGTGGGGTCTCTGGTTTGGCCACAAAGGGGGCATATCCGTCCACATAACGGCTCAAAATAACAATACAGAAAAAATGGAAGGTAGAAGAAGAAACTTCAAAGGGCTAAAATGCGCATAATAGGGAAATAAAGTACGAATGCTCAACATCATTTTAAGCAAATGTCAGTGAAAGCAGCTCCAGACTTTAACTGCTTCCTTTCAAAACCTTCAGAATGTTTAAGACACTCAAAGACTTCCGGGGAAACAAACTTCCCCGAGATCAGATCTGCAGTCCGGCTTTTACGCACACGAAAGCGAGCTGAAATTCGACCTCAGCGGACAAATAACTAAACATCCACAATAATAGGGACAGATCTGAAACCACCGTGGCCCTGCAGCATGTGCGCTGGCGTGACAGTTAACTCCGGACTTATGAATCCGTCATTTTACGCATACATAATTAATGGCGAGCGGAGGGTGTCCTGCTTTGCATCACAATGGTCGCGCTTGTGCAAGCTGTAGACCCGTCCTGATTGAAAAGGAAATTGCACAGTTGAAAAAAATGGAAGATGAAGAAGAAGTGGGGGTCTACCCCCCCGGCACAAAAAAAGCAATCTGGATCCTAGATACTGTCGGCGCGTGCTGCGCGTAATCAGCGCGCTTTTTCTGTCTCCAAATGGGGCAAAGCGAGATTATCTGGCCGTTAAACCACATCAAACCCCGCAGGTCCAGTCTGACCCGGTCAGTGGGATGTGAGTCTGTCCTGCACCGTGAGGGATGATGGGAGGTCTGTCGGTGCAGGGCTCGAGGACACGTTTGACAGGTGCAAGATTCTGGCGTAAAATGAAGATGTGAGAGAGATGTCCGGAAAGTTTTTTCACTAACCCATTTCAAATTTTGACTGTTGGCGTGTCCAAACTAAGAGCATTCAATAAACACGCGGACACGGGTCGTTTCTTGTGTTCTGGTCTTTTTTTATGATAAAATCTACATCTTATCCGCCAGTCTGTCTCTTACAAATATTTAAATCCACATTTTCCTAAAACAACATTCAAAATAACCAGTTTCAATGTGTGTTCCTTTAAAATCCACGTTTTTCGAGAACTTTCTTAAATCAGATGTTATCGTTTTTAATTTTTAAATGTTCCTCGGGTAGAAGCAGGCACATGCCTCCAAATGTTTAAAAAAAACCTCGATTTTCTGACAAAAAAGCTCACATCTTTTAAAAGTGAGATTTTTTTATCCAGTGTGAGCTGTGTTTAAAAAAAAAATAGTTAAACTTTATTTATAGGTTATTTCACCCATAATGCTCATTTCATAATAACAGGGAGTGCAGGTGGATAATTGTTTAGCAGTAACAGGTCAGCGCACAAAATGAACTAACATCTATACAAACACTGCAAAACCCTCATTGAGCGCCGTGTACAGTGTGTGTTTATTATCACGGACAGCGCATTGTGATATCCACGCAGTGAAGCTGACACTTAAAGTCACTCAGCGTTTCATGTCCTAGAATCTGACTTCATATTTCCACACAAGCAGTGTGCTGTTTTCTCAGCTTGCGGGTTCAGGCATATGTTCTGTGTGTGCGTTAGTGAGTGTGTGTGTGAGAGTGTGTGTGTGTGTTACTTTCCCGACAGGCTTCAGCTCAGCCTCATTAGCATACAGCTGTAGAGTGACGCCCTCCTCCTTTTCCCTCCTCCTCCTTCCAAAAAGCCACACATCCACTTTCATGTGCAGCATCTATAGGGCCCTGTGATTGGTCACACTCCTGCAGAGTCACACTTACAGTTGGCACATTGTATAGAAGAAAAAACAAAACAGGAATGTAAAAGTATGCCAGACTCTCGTTCTCATCTGGTGCAAAACACTGCTCGCACTCTGATTAATGAGAGATCTTAAGGATTAAAAAGGAAATTATCAGATGTCCACACAAGAAAAATGAATGCAAGCATTAATTTAATGGTAATAGCATGAAAAGTTAGCCAGAACTCTTACACAAAGAAAGTTTTACTGGATTAGACCACTCCCTCTCTCCCTATCTCTGAAAACAATTAAAATAACATTTATTTGATGGAAATTTTTTGGATTATGTTGATTGATCGAAGCAATCTAAGAAAACACACACTTTTTAACCATTTGATGGAAAACAAATCAGTAGTGTTAATCAGTGTTTTGGTGTGAGTAATCCAGTTTGGAGACGCTGACTGTCTGTTTGCTTTCTCTGAACATAACAGGACTAAAAAATGTCACGTGACTCCTGACTGTGTTTTTGTGCTGAGCTGCTGATTTAAAAAATTCCTCCAGGACTCTAAAGATCTGATATGATAATATATTTACACATAGCAGACACAGCGTTCCTGAGCCAGCTCAAATGACTGGAGGTATCCAGTGACACATACACAATATAAACCAGTTACCACACCTCAAACAGAGTCTGATTTGTTTTAGTATTTTAACAGGCGTGAGGTCAGAGCTGGCCCGGGCAGGCGAACATGGGCAGCAGGTTTCGGTTGTAACTCAGATACTTCACAGCACTGCTCCTCAGAGCCGCTCGACTGTTCTCGTCTTTCAATTGGTCCGGAGGGCAGAGGTCCTGCAGAGACACACAGGTGGAGAGTAAAATCTCAGCACTGCACTGAGAGAGCTTCTTTTTTTCCACAGACCAGCAGGTTCTGATCGGTGCCCGACTCAAAGTGTGCCGGAGAACTCTAAGCTCGCGCTGAAGGTGGGATCGCTGTGGAGAACTGATGTGAGGAGACATGTAACTGACTCCATCCAACCGAGTACTTAATGCTTCATTCACTAAATTTTATTTCTACAGCACATTTAAAATTCCTAAGAAAGACACTACAATCTGTCTGAGGACATCTGGGATGTCTTTCCAGGGTTTCAGTGTAACAACAGCAAAGGCACAAGCTCGCTCTGACTGCTGGATGATCAGGAGTGACTGATGAGCAGATCTTAATGATTTTATTCAGACAAAAGAAAGAAAGACTCACCCGAGCTCTGACCAAAACACTGGATGAACGTCTCAATAGAGAAAACATCCCTGATGTTACCACACAGAACTTTAAGAAGTTTAAAACACGCCTCAGTCTGGAAATTTGCAGGAAAACATGAACGACTGTTTCACATGGACAGCAATAACAATCTGATTTCAGCTGGCAGGGCAGCAGGACTCCACGTGGAAGTTCCTGCCTCAGTGTCAAAATTCCTCACCTTCACAAAGGCCACGTGCAAAGCCTTAACCGTGCATCGTAACCAATACAGTTTAACCCTCAGAGGGGCGTAAGTGTGATGTAGGAGATGAGAAGTGGAGCACCAACCTTGAGTTTGAGGGTCTGCTGAAGCTCCTGCTCTAAATCGGAGAATCTGTCGTGGAAAACGGCCAAACAGCTGCTCTGTGTGAAGAAACTGGAGAGAAAACCTTTACATCAGTGCTTCGGTTCAGTACCAACAACCAGAGGTTTTAAGGGAAAAGGGTGCACCCGAGTTATAACATTGACAATAACAACTGTTTCAAATCTAGATTATGTCAGAAGTTTAAATCAGAATCTGATTCCATTGCTCTGCATCTACATAATGTAGAGGTTAATTTCCACCACTGGAAACTTTCTTTGTGTGAACCGACTGTTTACATAAAAGCTCAGTGAAGCTTTGAAATAAAAACACACACACACACACACACACGCACACTTTTAGAAGCTTCCCTAAGTGTGTCGGCTGAATAAGCCTCAGCCGCCACACGGTCAATCAATTATCTTAACGGCTCCTGATGCTCCGTCAGCCTCCACAATGACTTTACGAGTCAGCTGACTGAGCAGCGTGATGGGGAATCGGCCTCTGTGGTTGCGAGGCTCCAGCTTTGTCTCGTCCTGGACCGACCACAAAGACAGATTGGGGAGCTGCATAAACAGATTAGGAGGTGGTGGTGGTGGGGGGACAATAGCCGTCCATGTCTGGGGGTCATTTGTGTTGAAACCTCAGAAGCAGGTCACCCACTGCTTGACAAATACCTACTCACTGGAAAGTCATGCCAACAAACACACACACACAAAGTGAGAGGACAAAGGCAGCGGAGGCCCGAATCTTCCTCGTGTGTTGAAGTGATCGGTCAGCGGTTACATGACGTCAAAGCGGCTTGTTTCTGTGCAGAACTCAGTTATGAAAACATCTGTTTTTACACAGCTGCCCACCTGCCGTCTGCCTTGTTTCAGTGCCAAAAATCACACATCAAAAAGTGAAAAACAGCAGTGTGAGTTCTTCTGCAGTCACTTACATGCATACCTGAAATTATACTCCTGCAGAGGGCTGGACAAAACAACAGAAATGCTGTATAAAACACAATAACCATGCAGGAAACACCAATCTGCCGAAGCTGCTTTATTATTCTGTCGACAACATACTGAAACCAGACATTGAGCTCTTCACCAAACTGCTCATTTCTGCCAGTCTAATGGGATGTTTTGCCGTTTGTTCGCCTGCTGCTGCATCAGCCCTGACAAAGACTCGAGCAAAAACATTGGACAAAAGATCTGATTTTTATTTCTGTCCTTGTGAGGATTTGTTTTTACAGTGCGAGCAACTGATTTGGCTCCATTGACTATGTTTGGGCACTATACTTAAAAAGTATAAGCATGAGAGTTAAAGAACAACCGTGGTTTGCTAAAAGACATCGGCAGCAGAATGTAAACGACCTTCGAGGATAGTGGTGTTTGTTTGGAGGAGGAAATATTTCTTCTTCACTTAAAGATAACAACAAATACTCGAAGAGCTCTCGCTTTTGGTTTGTCCTCTACCTGCAGTCATGTAGATAATCCCAGCAGCCTTGCTGTGACCACAGTATTACTAAAGCTGCAAAAAGAACTTCAAACTAACAAAGTTTCACGTGTAAGCAGGAAAAGAAATGAAGTTTTGAAAGGTTAAACAGGCTTCAAACCTGAGGGCAGAAAATGAAAATACAGAAAACTGCAGTTCCTCTAATGACCACCAGAGGCTGGCTCCAAACACGAGTCAGTCTAAGGTTTCCAGTAGAAATTATATGCGTTTACTGCCTGATGTAAAACACCTCTGAATGGTGTTGGTTCTGTTGGGGCCTTTTTTAGCCATTTTAATAGAATCTTAAAATGACAAAATATGACTTTCTGTATTGCACAGACCACCCAGGGAGGTTGTGATTTAATTTTGGAAAATCTGGCATTTTATTTGTATGTTACTTTGCAGTAACCAGCAGGTGTGTGTGTGTTTGTGTGTATACATAGGTGTAGATTTTTGGGGGAGGTGCACAAATCCTGGTGAAAAATTATTTGGGGGATTGTTTTTATATAAATTCAATTAAAACTGACCTGCTATGCTTTTACTTATTCATTATATATTTCAGGCTAGCGCGTATACAAATAATATGGGCAGATGTTCAGTAAAACAGTATTTGTCAGTGTTTGTCCCACCTGTACAGATCAGGGATCAGGTCCTCCTGGTAGCAGCTCAGCAGCTGGCCCAGCAGCTGCTGATGTTTCATGTAGAGACTCAGGTAATTGGAGACGGGGAGAGGCTTCAGGGACAAGCAGGTGAGCGTCCCCACAAGCTCATAGCAGTCAAGATGCAAGCAGAAGTAGTCGCCTCTCTCCGGCTGTCCCGTCACAATCGCTCTGTCCTGTAACTTTGGATGGAGGAACACGAGCACTGATCTCTGGTTCCAAGTTATAATGTAAATCTTCAAAAACAAATCAAAATACTTGAATAGCCAATTAAAATAATATCAACTAAAAACACTAGAAGCTGATTAATAATCTGAAAAACAAAGGTCGATTAACAGCCACATTAATTTTTAACCAATAAAAAAAGAAAAAGGTGTGTTATATTCAATACCACAATTCAATTCAATTTTATTTATATAGCGCCACATTACAAAAATAGTCGCCCCATGGTGCTTTGTATTGGATGATAAAGACTACAATAATCCAGAGAAACCCCCAACAATCAGATGACTCCCTATGAGAACGTACTTGGTGACACTGGGAAGGAAAAACTCCCATTTAACAGGAAGAAACCCGTTGCTTTCTTGTTTCATTTTGCTTTTCAGTTTTAAGTTGAAAAAAGGTTCAGAACATGTTGTGTTAATCAGGAATTAAATTTCTTAATAAATATAATCATTCCCAGGTTACATGTTTGACATGAAACACCCAGAGATTGAACTCCTGGGCAGTGAGCGCTTACCTGTTTAACATTAGGGCCTGTCAGGTCTGTTGGAGATGGTTTGGTCACATGCAGGTAGTGATATCCTCCAGGAAGCTTACCACCTGAGGAGAGAGCAAAACACATGACACACGTTAAGATATGTCCAGATATTTATTTATTACCCCGTTATTCCATGAGTATTACCAAGCTGTTATAACAGCATAAAGTACTCACAATACCTCAGCTTTACCTCAGAGAACTTCTGATGCACATTTTATAATACGAGCATTTAATCAGAAAATTGTTTGCAGGATAAATATTATTTATAATCTAACAAACCAACACTTAGAAAACACTGCAGTGAAAAGCCTGTGGTCTTATCAGCGGGAGATATCCCAGTAAGATTAGCTTCAGTGCTGAAAAATTCTGTGGCTTCGAAAATTGGACAGCAGCAAAAACATCATAACAGGCATTTCACTGTTAGCATCCACCCACTGAGGAAAACACAACTGAGACAATGAACTCAGATAACAGGCGCTGATATAGTGCCTGTGCGCTCCCTGAACGCTGAGATCCCTTTGAAAAGTTCACGTGTGTTTCATCTCTCTGAGGAGGGCGAAGTAGAGAGGCTGTTGTGTTTATGTAACCCGCCGAGTGGCCTTGGTCGCTCGGTGAATGCGCTGCGGCACAATGCGGCATTGTTACGCCAGCTATAATTCGAGTGTCCGCCACAATAACATCGGCGCTGGGTGGGTGGGTGAAAGATTGGAAAATGTTTCACAAACACATAATGAAAAACATTCTGGCGGTACGAATTCTCTCAGATAAAAGCAGGCGACAACAGGCATGGACAGGAGGAAGGACAGCGAGGAGAACGTCGAGCTGAAGCGACAAACCCTGAAAGTATATGCAAAGCTGAGATCTGCCCATGAATGTGAAGGAATTTTAAGATGGGTCAGCTCTTCTGGGCCCACTGAGAAACCAGTTCAGTTGTAGTTTCCCAAGAAGATTCATTTCCATAATAAATAGACTGGCAGAGCTGGCTCCTGTTGGGAACCAATAAACGAAACCACAAAAGTGAGAATTTTAACGTCACATC